ATACGCATCTAAATAAGAGACTGGAACACGGCTGTTTGTCAAAAGCATACGATTTCGAACTCGCGTAAATGTACATTTGCTAAATGCTATAGCATGAACGCTCTTCGAAAACATATGTTCTAAAGTGCTAAAGTTGCATTTTAAATGCAGCAAAAACGCTGCATAATACAGCGTATCCCTATAGTAACATCATGTAGGAAAGTTTTCTCTAGATTTTTACCCGGTAAAATTTGTTAAAAAATTCGTTAAATTTTAGTATAATAAAGTGCAATTTTAAGTCGGTAAGGCTTACCACTAATTTTTGGCAATTTTTTTTTTTGTTGACGGTGTTACGCATTTTTTTCATACAAAGTAAGTATGTTCGACCTTTTTTTTTTGAAAGAGAAGCAACTGAGCAGCAATTCCCACTCGCACTTTATTATACTCAATTTTAATCAGTTACATAACTGCAAACCAAATTTTTTTCTAAAGATTCTAATTAAAAAGTTTGAGATTTTGGCGAAACATTGCAGAATTAATTTTTATAGTTTTTTGCACAAAGTTGGAAATTTGATATTATATGGTTTTTGGGGGAAAAAGAGCTTTACTTTCATAAAATAAACAATAAACATTAAATAAACTGAGGAAAAATAGCCAAAACTTACTAAAATGTCGAGTCCTAATTTCTATTTTGGCCACTGTATGTATTCCCCGTTTCGAATCAAAGGTCTTCAGATTAGAAAACAATAACTGTTTATAAAGAAAATTACGATCATATATGTACCAACATCACTTAAAACTCGTTCATAGGCATGCCATTTTAATGAGCTGTTAAGGCGTCGGAACACCGAATACGGGACAAATAGAGGACATTAAAAGAAATACAGAACATTTGGCGTCCCGTATAAAATAAATAAATTACCAGGACAATGGGTCAAAAAAGAGGACTGTCCCGTATAATACAGGACGGATGGTCACCGTAGCTATGGGCGCTCGCATATGAACTGTCAGTTTTATCGCATGCGAAATCTTATCGCAGGGAAATTTTTGTACGTGGGCATTTGATCGCATACCATTGCAGTGCGAATTTGTTGTAAGTTTTTTATAAATGTTGCGAAAATTTTATTTCATTTATTTGGTTGTGTCTGAACAACGTTTCTCCGAATAACACCGCTTCTTTCCTACTCGGAATCAAAGCAAATACGAAAAAGCAGTGGCTAAACGCATAGTTAGGTATGCGATAAATGGTATGAGATATCTCTTACTTATATCGTGTACTTTCTGCGATGAACGGTCTGCACCTCCGATGTATCTCTTACGATGTTTCGTATGCGAGCGCCCATAGCAGGTATAGACGTGCAGTTACCATGGTGAAATCAAAGAACGTAGATAACGTAGAGCTAGAAAAAAAATTTGACACTATAGTATATACCCTAGGTGCAATCCCGTATTCCTCGGACTAAAACTAGTAAAACCAAAGAACGTAGATAACAAGAAGGGACAACTCGTTATAATTGTAGCAAAAGTGCGCAACAGGGGCATGCCTTCTCTTTTCATCCAATCAATCAACCAAAAAAGCTGAAAATTAAAAATTAAGAAAATCTAAAATTTACTTATATTTGCAAAGTCGCGCGCAAAGATCAAATTATATATTCGAAAACTAGCATCTACATTTCAAAGTAAATTTTTTTGTAAGAAAATAGGAAATTGCCAAATAAATGATAGATACCTTTACCTGAATACTCCACGACAAATTGATTACAGTTGAAAAAGAAACACTTTCTTTAATGGGTTAATCGCCAAAGGCNTAAATTTTATTTTATTTATTTGGTTGTGTCTGAACAACGTTTCTCCGAATAACACCGCTTCTTTCCTCCTCGGATTCAAAGCAAATACGAAAAAGCAGTGGCTAAACGCATAGTTAGGTATGCGATAAATGGTATGAGATATCTCTTACTTATATCGTGTACTTTCTGCGATGAACGGTCTGCACCTCCGATGTATCTCTTACGATGTTTCGTATGCGAGCGCCCATAGCAGGTATAGACGTGCAGTTACCATGGTGAAATCAAAGAACGTAGATAACGTAGAGCTAGAAAAAAAATTTGACACTATAGTATATACCCTAGGTGCAATCCCGTATTCCTCGGACTAAAACTAGTAAAACCAAAGAACGTAGATAACAAGAAGGGACAACTCGTTATAATTGTAGCAAAAGTGCGCAACAGGGGCATGCCTTCTCTTTTCATCCAATCAATCAACCAAAAAAGCTGAAAATTAAAAATTAAGAAAATCTAAAATTTACTTATATTTGCAAAGTCGCGCGCAAAGATCAAATTATATATTCGAAAACTAGCATCTACATTTCAAAGTAAATTTTTTTGTAAGAAAATAGGAAATTGCCAAATAAATGATAGATACCTTTACCTGAATACTCCACGACAAATTGATTACAGTTGAAAAAGAAACACTTTCTTTAATGGGTTAATCGCCAAAGGCAACTAAACTGATTAGTCGGTATCGCACCCATACCCGTATTTTTTTTTGTTTTGATATGTATCCTTCGTGAAGAAGGGGGGTTAGTAAATAATGTAAGATTTGGTATTTATGACTTTAACTTTTCCCTATCTAAGTCCAACCGGCTTTCTTTTATCAACTGTCGCCATGACTTTTCTACCTGCCTCCATATATTCGAAACACTGTGCGCCATTGTGAACAATATAATAACTGTATAACTTCATGTATATGAGTTGATTTTTTCTATCCACATTTTTTAATATAAATCCGAATCAGTATTTTTAATTTCATCATAACAAAAGAAGAAATATAAGAATGAAAAAGAAAGTTACCAAAACTCCAATTTAACCCACCGTCCGACCCTAAGCACACTATTCCGTGTGCATGTTGTGCTCATCGTTTGTTTGCGGTAGTGCCCATACCACTTGATACCCTGCAGGAAATAAAGCTGACTTAAAAATAAGAAAACTAACTACTTTCCTGTCGCGATGACCGCAAAATAGTCAGACCTGCAGCCGGATTACAACGTTCGCTATCGCCAATTTTAATTGGCAAAAATCTCCAAAGAATAAGAGGCGCGCCTAACAACGTGCAACATCTAGTTACATGCATATCATACTGTCAGATTTAGCTGATTACATATCATGATGCAAGGTGGTATCAGTTGTGGCAGCTCGATTTGATACCATGAACGAAAGACACAAGATCACGTAAGAACAAGAGAGTGAAAAAAGTCGATTTTTTTAGCGGGTTCTACGCCATCGTGTTTCACTGGAAAACGAGCGAAAAGTAAACAAAGCAAAGAAAACAACGAAAACCAAAATTAGCCAAAATTATTGTCAGCCACTTTAAACGCACCATTTAGGTAAAATGATGCAACAAAATGCTTTAAAATGTGTTGTCATGTTGAATTAACTCTTCTTTACTTGAATAAAAGTGTAAAATAGTGGTGCTTGTGATGTAAACAAACGCCCAGCTGACGAACCAGCTTTCGCAAACTTTTTTCTCAAAACCAGTTACAAATACAACGTCGCGTTCTTACGTGATCTTGTATTTTTGGTTCATGATTTGATACTGCCTTAGCTCAGTAGAATACGAAGAAAGACGGGAGGAAATTCATCCCCGTTTTGGGGGAAAAATATAAATTTCATATTTTCTTCTAAACAAAATTTGCGTTTTTATAGTATATTCGTAATGAAATAAAATAAACTAAGTTAAAATGCATTTTTAAGAAAACAAAATGTGTATACTGAGAAAAAATAAAAAAAAAACATTCAACTGTATTATTAGGCAAAGAATTGTTAAAGAAGTAACACTGCTTCACCTAAGGCAGTTAATATAGCGGAGTTATAGCAAGAAGCTGCTAGCCGATAACACCTATTGCATCATGATTACATATTACATCCGTTATTAGCGTCCCTAAATTGGAGCGCTAAGCATTGCGTTTTCCATTGTTAACGAGTGTCAACGCGCGCTATCCGCAAATCAACGCAGCGTAATGTTTGACGTTTTCTCATTTCCTCTCTAGTTTATTCTCGTTTCTTCTTTCACTTTTTTGTCCTTTTTCCTTCTTTCCGTCTCCTGCATTCAACTTCAACACGTAACGCCTTGTCAAAAATGAAAATTCCATTTGCTCGGCGTTGTTGTGCACTTTTATTAGGTCCCGCAGCTTTGAATTTAAAGAATTTTGGCGACGGAAATTTAGCGTGGTGATTGCCTTTGGACACAAAATATCTATAAGAAAAAATTATTTCTCCAATTTTTAACATGTTTATGTATTTACTTTATTTAACATTACATATTTGTTTACTTATTCTGCCCTAGCTGAATCCATATTTGAATCCCGTCAGACATATGTAACATCGAAATGATAATACATATAAAATCTCGATCTTTACTTTATTTGCATTGAATTCGAAAAAGTTTGTTATTTTTATCAATTCAAAATTTTTACTGCAGGGTAGGGCATTCTTTAGGAATTGTGCTCTGCATATTGCTTCGGTTGAAGTCAAGAAGATTCAAAGAGCGCGCGCGCGGATGTGACGGCGCTCTTGCTATGCTTAAGCGATTTAAAAAAAACACCAAGTTCAGAAGTGCGTATGGTGTTACCATCGCGGAATTACCGGATCCAGTGCAGAATAAAGCTATAAATTAAAGTATGATTGGTGATAAAACGTCGACTTGTATAATCGTATTGAAATCAATGTGCATTTTAATGCAGACTGAAAATGGTAATTAAATTAATGAATTTAGAAATTCAGGAGCCCGTTTAAGTCCACTTAGTTGTTTGTAAACATTCTTGCAGTGCGGTTGTTTAGTCACTTGCTTGTTCGTATAAATCCATTACATATTTACATACATATATGTATATACATACATACATATCTGTGGACATTTGATGAAACGGCTTTTCTCGAGTGGGGTCATTTGCTCTTCAAAGCAGTAATTCACCGAGTTCTCATATGCTATTTTTTATTTTAACTCATTGAAAGCAGTAGTTTAAGATTTTAACTTTATGAAAGTTAAATACAAATTTAATATCAAGGCGAATTTATATAAGGGGGTGTTATTAGCTCAGCTGATTTTGTGTATGTGATTTTGTTTGAATTTCTACTCATACTCTGACAGATTTTGACAGTTTATGCCGCCAAAGCAAAAACAAAATACATGTAAATTTTTGTTTTTGTACTCCTGCTATCACCTTATATTAATTCGCCTTGTTTAATATTTTCGAATGGAACTTCCTTACATTTGACTATAAATTCCTACCTACAGAACGCACAGAAGTTGTGTTGTCAAAAGTCCCCAGATATTTATGTATGTACATACATATGTAAGTATGTATGTATATGTATTTCGTTCAACATCTACTGTTTTGCTTTTATTAGTGTGACGCTAATATCTATGTATAAGACGGTTTGGTTTATTTAATTCACTTTCGTGTATTATTCGTTATTAAAGTACAAAATTATATTCTATCTTCTGATTAGTGATGTCTAAATTTAATAGTTTTGTTATCACCGTTAAAACATATCTAAGCTTTTGTTAAATAAATAATTCATATTAGTCTTATCAACAGGTTTTACACATCCATACGAGAACGCATAACAAAAGGACATACAAAGACACGTAGGTATTTGTACATAATGCATACATATGGGTACATGTACATATGTAGTTTATAAGCATATCCACGGTTGCCTCTTCCATCAAAATTTTGTGTACCACAATTAAAAGGCCCAAAATAAAATAAAATTTACAATTGTTTGCCGTCGATCAAAAGTATATACAGTGACTGAACCAAGTGACCACGTGATGATTTTTTTTTTAAGATTCGTAGTTTTTCGAAATTTTTTTTTTTGTTATTTTTTTATAAAAATACCGTCAATGCTTTAACAGAAACCATATAAAAAGTTTAAAACTTTATAAAAAAATTTAGGAAAATTCCACAAATTTTGATCAAAATTTCTTTTTTGAATTTGAATCTTTAGAACATTTTTGGGTATGCAGTTGTATAGCCAATACAATTTTAGTTTAATAAAGTGCAAGTTTCAACCACCTAAAAATCGCGTTGAATTTTGATTTTTTTTTGTGACGGATTTTTGTACTTTTTTCCATACAAGCATACATTTTTTTATTTTAGTTTTCATTAGACTAAAATAGCAGCGGTTATAAAACTGCATACCCAAAAATGTTCTATAGATTCAGATCAAAAAGTTGAAATTTTAATAAAAACTTGTCGAATTTTTCTAAATTTTGTATAAAGTTTGAAGCGAACGTTGCTTCAAAATGGTCCAAAACAAACAAAAAGGCCCAAAGTCCCAACCGGATACAAAAGGCCCATATTTGGTACAATATACCAAACTGGCAAGCATATCAGTCCGGGCACACTCACACTATCACATATTGCTACGTCCAAGCCAGCAGAGGAGCAAAAAATTTTCTCAACAGTGCAGTCTCGTATATTTTACATATGAATCCTGAAAGGTACAATGGGAGGCTTCGTACTCGGAAACAAACAAAAACGGCATAAATGTTCATTAATTTTCGTATCTAAAAAACGTTCAAAGAAGATCAAGATACAAAAATTTGAAGGTAAAACCGCTGAGAGACAGCCTGAACATTTTTGATGTTTGCTAACATAACAAACAAGTTTTCAAAATTTTTAAATCTCACAAATACCAAGGCGAATTAATATAAGCTGATAGCAGGAGTACACTTTTTTTTGCTGGCTGGTCTTTGCGTTGCAGCGCTGTCTAAAGCTGATGTCACATAAAACTTTTGCTTCGCTTTACGTGACAGATTCGCTTTGACAGATAAGATGAATTGTATGAAAATGCACAAAGCATGCCACATAAATCGTTGAAGCGGCAGCGCGAAGCGAAAAGATGGTCAACTCCCATCTTTTTGCGCGCTTTGACAATCAGCCGGTTTAATATTTATTTTGTTTCGTCCAAATTCGGGTTTTCATGCAGAAACATAAAACTTAATTACATTGCTGATAATTTTAAATCAAAATAATTAAAATCCACAGCAACTTTGATGAGTAAAAAANAGCACCAAATTTTTAAGAATCAAGGGATGCTTTTTTCATAACTTAATACCGAAGTAGTGCACATTAAAACTGGTATATCTCGAGAAAGAAAACTCGAATCGCATCAAACGAAAATGATGCCCTAATTAGAAATGAGCAAATAANTCTAGTGCTAGACCAATTGTGAGGCCAGATTTGGATTCAGCACCAAGAAACGATGTGTTTTACTCAGGTGGTAAAAAAAAAAACAAAATTTGTACAAATATTTAGAAAAGAAAAAAAGAAATACATACTTAACTTACTTGCGTACTAGCATTTTCAACGCGATATAATTTAGCAAGGTGGGTTTGCAACTTCAGCCTTTTATCAATCATGGTTGTACTTTAGTTCACTTAAATTTGTAGATTCTTGTAAATTCTGGCAGCCCTAAATATTTCAATTTATTTCAGTTTTTAACTATCTCGAAGTAATTTTAGTTCAGAAAAAAGCACTAAAAAGGCACTAGGCACTAAATAATTTTTTTTTGGCGTTTTAATTTTCAAAAAGCACTAAATCTAGTGCTTAAAGCACTAAGTTGGCAACTATGGTAGCAAGCATGCCCAGCGCAGGGCACTTGCCTATCAATTCTGCCAGCGCAAGGCACTTGCTTACGGAGTTATGCCGGCGTTGGACATGCCGCTATGTAGTATACTGGTGATGGCGGAGACGTTGGCAGCGAAATACCATCTATTCACGCACGAAAAAGAAAGCTAAAAATGCCCGACACTGACGTATGTGTATAAATTAGTAAACAGACACTAAAAATAAGGGCAATGAATTAATAAAAATGAGTGCAGTCGCGTTTAATGAATGGATTAATTCTGCCTTGATCAAAGTCTAATTTCTTATATTTCTCCATGATATACCATATAAGATATCCATTTGTATCTTCTGTAAGTTTTCAGATTTGAATAATTATGGATCGGGCTAGCATTTATTTTTTGGATGAAGGCGAACTAAATACTTATGACTACGACGAAACATTGCCAGCATTACCCCTACCAGACCTACACGATACACTAAAACGCTACTATGAATCGTTAAAGCCATTTGGCTCACATAAAGAATTGAGTAATTCGAAAGAAATTATCAAGAAATTTGAATCTGGAGTCGGTGCTCAATTGCATGAAAAATTAAAAGAATTAGCTGCAATCAAGAAGAATTGGTTAAATGAATGGTGGGATAAATATGCATACCATATGTTGAGACTACCACTACATCCCTACATCGTAATGGGAATGCCAGTAAAATTTGAAGTCATCAATATTCCAGAAACGCCGGCTCATTTGCTTAAGGTTATTTTTTTTTTAATTAATATAAATTAGCCATTAAATATACATTAAAATAATTCAGAATTTATCACGTATGATATATCATACATTGGAGTTTTGGGAATTGGCCCACAAGGCTACAATGAAACCACTTTCTTCTAACGGCGGCAAAACTAAATATTCATCAGCATTGTACAAGAGATTCTTCTCAACAACACGAGTTCCTGGCGTGGAATTTGATTATATTAAAAGTTACTTTAAGACAGGTAAAATCTATTGTATAGCTTTTAAAAGAAACTAAATAAATCTTTGTCGTTTCTAGTTAAGGATGGTGCAACGCCTTCGCATGCCATTATTTCTGGTAAAGGGCGAATTTTTGTTTTTGATTGCCTACATACTGATGGGACGATTATAACCCAGCAAGAAATACGCAATGTATTGCAACGCATTCGTTGTACTTTAGATTATGAGCCAATGGGAGATTGTGTACCTGTTCTTACCCATGACGATCGTACTACTTGGGCAAATGTAAGCATTTTAAAAATAATAAATCTTTTCAATACTTTGAACTCAAATATTTATAGAATTATATGCATCTTCAAGAAATCTCGGCAAAGAATATTGAAACACTCATAACAATAGAAAGTTCTTCAATCTTTGTAGCATTCGACGAGAATGAGCCACAAACCTATGAAGAAATTTCGCTTATTTGTGTAAGTGGCGATTATCATTCAAAGTGGGGAGATCGAAGTAGCACAATTATTGCCTATAAAAATGGCCGATTTGCCTGCATTGGAGAGGTAAACATTTATGTACATATCTATTTTATAAAACACAAATGAATTCAATACATATTATAATATGACTAGTAAGCACAGAGCGTAAGGATTATAACTAAAAAAAAATGGAATTTTAAAATATTTATCCATCTTTGTCATACAAATTTAAATTTTTAGATTACTTTTGAGCTTTATTCTGAAAACCAAAAATATGTAACACTCCTTTTAAAAATATGTATGGAAATTAGACTAGGGTTGCCAGATTTTGAAACGGAGAAAGGAGTACATTTATATTTTCGATAGGAAAAAAGCAGTACATGACATAAGAAAGGAGTACAATTTCTTTTTTTAATTTTTTGTGCAATTTATTGTTACAAATTACCATTAATTAGGTACAAACAAACAAAGATATCTTAGAAATCTTTTTCAAAGCAACAATAAATGTGAAAAATAAATAACTATATGGGTTGGCTTTCCAATAGGGGTGGTTGTTAAAGAGATGGTGATCGAAGGGGGAATGGACGTGGCACCTTTTCCGACCTTTTTGGAGAGGGCAGAACCGCTATTGACAAAAATGTTACTCCCGACCACCTAGGGCCCCTATGGTTCCCTAGAGAACCCTTAGAAAACTGACCAAAAGTCATAATTTTCACTTGCGTTTTTTCGTTTGAAAAAGGCTGAATATTCATTTGCACGGGACATTTTATATACCCTTGATAACAAAAGAGGTGCCTGCCCCTCTTCCCCGGCAACACAGAAAGGAGAATTCTACTTAGTAAGGGTTATAATCCCTAAGTGCGGCCAAAGGCCGCCTACACAGAAAGGAGTTAATTGCAAAAATACTTTGGATACCGAAGCCGGAATTATATCCACAAGAAATGTTATACACTTTTGACGGAGAGAGGGGTTCCTCCTCTCTTCTTCGGCAACACAGAAAGGAAGATTCTACGTAGTAAGGGTTATAATCCCTTACCGAATTCTACGCAAAAATATTGTGGACGCAAGTGAATATTGTGATTTTTGGCGATTTTTCTAAGGGGTCCCTGGGACCCATAGGGCGTCTAGGTGGGGGTTGGAGGTGCCGCGGCCACTCCCCCTTCGCTCACCACCTCTTCAATGACTGCCCTTATAGGAAAGAATTCCAGACTCTTCCTGAATGTATGGCCATTTTTTTAAATTAAGCCTTATAAATAATTTAATATTTTTCTGATTTTTATATCCGAGCGCCCTGCACTTACCTTGCGCCCATGCTTACACTTTTTCACTATCACACTTAACTTTTCTTACTAAGTAGTGTTTGCCACAATATGAATGGCAAAGTACAGGGCGTAAAATAATAACTGTCGCACAGGTTTTTTGAACAATAAAAGGGTTCTTTATAGATTTTGTTAAACAAATTTTTTTTTGGTAACTTTGTAAATATTTTACTTTAATTTTATTAATTGGATTTAAAATTTTAATCCTTATTTGCATTTGCCAGCTTTGGGAGATAAGTACATGCGGCACACACCTCTTTTCCAGGTGTAATTTTTCTTAGATTTTGTATAAAGGAAACAAAATTTTATTTTTTTTATTTTTCAAAAAAACTGTGCAACAGTTATCATTTTACTCCCAGTATAAAATATTAATAGCTGGAAAAAGGAGTACAAAAGAAGTACAAAACTAATAAAGGAGTACATTTCCAGATATTTTTTTTTTGAGAGTACATGGGAGTACATTGTAATAAAAAGGAGTACGTTTACTCCCAAAAGCAGTACGTCTGGCAACCCTACATTAGACTGTCCCAAGAAAACATATCGCCGTTTAAAGTACAAAACCGCGTATCAACAAAATGCAAAACCGCGTATGTGAGGTTGCAAAAATTATTTTCTAGAGAGTTAATTGTTCATGTTTAACCAAAACTTACGAGTTTTTGCGCTCACGTACGCAAAAAACTTGCAAAGTAGGGGAATTTGAGAGAGCAAAGTGACATTTCATTTTGAGGGGAAGCTGCTGGTTTCTGCTGGAAAAATTTTTGCCAACAGCAATTTGCCAACAAAAAAGCAGCTGATTAAAAACAGCTGGTTGGCATTTACGCAAATAACAAAATTGAATTTGATGGTTTGGAAGTTAAAAATTACAAAATGCGACTAATTAAACTTGTAAGAAATAAGTAGTTATTTTTTTAATCAATAAACTGTGTCAGTATAACACTTTGTGATGACTTTTCGTACGTTTTAAATTTTACACTTTTGAATGTAAACAAAAATTATATCAGCTGTTCGTCTAACTAGCAAGTTTCTGCAAATTTTCTGTTCGCGTACTATTTTGGATATTTTTGACAAGAGTGTGAGAGAACAGATGGCATTTCGCCGGAATTTGGCAGTTGGTTGGTTTTAACTGGAGATTTTAAACGAACGCACCTATAAATTCGCCTTAATTTAAAACGTACGAAAAGTCATCACAAAGTGTTATACTGACACATTTTATTGATTAAACAAATAACTACTTATTTCTTTCAAGTTTAATTAGTCGCATTTTATAATTTTTAACTTCCAAACCATCAAATTAAATTTTGTGATTTGCGTAAATGCGAAAAAGCTGTTTTCCTGCTGGCAAATTGCTGTTGGAAAAAATTTTTCCAGCAGAAACCAGCAGCTTCCCCTCAAAATGAAATGTCACTTTGCTCTCTCAATTTCCACTACTTTGCAAGTTTTTTGCGTACGCGAACCTAAAAAACTTGTAAGTTTTGGTTAAACATGAACAATTAACAGCTACGCGAACGCAACTAATTTCAAAAATGCCAAATTTTGGCTTGTGCCACTTTTGATGATCGCGTGCGATATGTAGAGTTAGCAAGTTAACCTTCGAAAATTGCAGGGCTAAATATTTTACGATTTAACTGTAATCTTAATCCTAGCCATTGATTATGCAAGCCAATTTATCAATTTAACCGGTAAACTTCGCGTTATATACATAACCTGCTGTTCTGCAAGTGGGCCTAAGAATTCTATACCATTTCTGCGAAAAGTTGCCTTTTGATACCTTGTGCACAAGGGTAATATAACTTTGTTCAGAGATAGATATAGGCCAATGTATACATACATGATCAGAAGGAAAAAAGAAATCGAAAAGAAAAGAAGCGGTGACTGTCTGTCCTTTCGTCCGTCTGGGCACTCAATATCTCGAGTAAAAATTGAGATATCTTAACGAAACTTGGTATGTGTACTTCTCTTCAGCGTAGGACGGATGGTATTGAAAATGTGTAAAATAGGACAATAACGCCTACCTCCCATATAACGGTAGTGTTCAGAAATACGACAAAAATTGCGATATTTTAGTAACTACTGAAGATTATTCACTAAAAATTGATATTTACAATGATTTTTAGACGAAAAATAAGCCACGCAAACTTATGATTACACGTGTATATCTTAGTAAGCGCTTCACCAATTTCTCCCAAACTTGGCACCGAAAATTTTTAAAATCGGACAATAACCACGCCCACATCTGATATAACGCTAATTTTGAGAAATGCGAAATCTTCGCTAAATCACTAAATACTGAAGCTAATTTGCTCAAAAGTTGATGCTTGCAATAATTCTTTAGCAATAAATAAGTTTATGATAAAATTTTAGAAAATGGGCGTGGCACCACCCACATATAACCACATATGTATGTATATCTCGGTAACCGTTCGCCCAATTTGTACCAAACTTGGTAGGAACGATTATTGCACTTGCCACATAAAAGCAAAACTTCACTCCGACTAAAATTACGTCAACTTAACTTGTAGCAGTTATGCTGTATACCTGATAGAAATATACATATATACATAATCCTTTGTGAACAAATTTATTTGTGGCCTGTTGTTCAAGGACATATGTAGGTATGCATACCTTATGGTTCTCCTTTTTAATCAAATGGGATGGGGGGGGAATATCATTTTTCAAGCAATTATTGATATGACATATTAGTTTATCTCTCGTTAATATGTTAATTTAGTGGCCAAAGTATTCTCTGCCAAGCTTCATTGAATTGTAGAACTTATAAGCTATACTATATTATATTTATACTAAAATGTAATATGCTATAAAAACACCAAGCATTGCTCTATTCGGTGTTGGCACTAATCAACAGCTGACTATAAATACATATATGAATTCAAATGCAGCCGTCCACATAGCCAAAATTCGACAACGCTCACACCAACACAAAGCAAAAAGATGGCCAACCATAAACCATTGCCCAAATTTTCCTGGTAGTATGGCAGATGATTTCCACAGCCCACCTGGTGTTTACCAGAATGAATTCAGCCTTTAGTCCATGTTTGCAGGGAGTTAGAGGTATATTCTCATTCTGAGCAGAATTGACTTCAGATATTTTCGTCCCCTCCTTGCCAGCTCGTCAGCTAGGTAATTGCCAGGAAGGTCCCTATATCGAGGGACCCATACAACTGTCAAGGAGCATTTTGATGCCAGCAGGTTGAGAGTATTTCTTAATTCTATGGCTACTTTGGACGTTATTCCGTTTGATTCGAGAGATTTGATAGCAGCCTGGCTGTCAGAACAGATAGTAGGCCGTTCTGGAGGGTGGAGGTTATGAGCCACCGAGTCGCATCCATTATGGGTTGAGCTCTGCTTGAAAGAGGCAGCAATGGTCCGGTAAGCGAAAACTGAGGTTTAGCACGAGTTCATCAGAATAAATCCCGCTACCCACGCTTTTGTTAAGCTTGGAACCATCTGTACATATAGCCGTACACCCTGGGTTCAAGTCTGTGGCCTCCTACACATTCCCTCCAAAAGGCGTCATAAATTGAACAAAAAATTTTGGCGGATTAAAAAGTTAAAATAAACTTTATGCTTTCTAAATTACGTCACCCAATTATAAGTACTTTTTTTTGTTCATTCACAGCATTCAGCGTATGATGGCAGCATTAGTGTGAGCTATGCACTTTTTGTGCAGCTTAGCATGTATGAAGTTCCCGAGCCAGACTGGGATTCTCAGGAAGTCATCGCGATCGTTCCCCTGAAGGAATTAAAGTTCGAATTGGATGAAAATCTGAGGGTAGAAATTAAACGAGCAATGGTGGACTGTGACCGAAGAGTAATCATTACAAATGTAATCATTAAGACATTTCGTTCTTATCCCTTGAACTCTTTCAGAGAAATGACATTATCATTACACATGACTGCTTCAAGGGATACGGAAAAGAGGTTATAAAAAAGTGGAACCTACATCCCGACTCTTTCATTCAAGTTGTCATGCAGTTAGCATATGCAAAACTGCACAACGAGTAAGTAGTTATTTAATTTATTGGCGCTTATCCAATGGCTATTTTATCATTTTCGTAGGATTGCTTCTACATATGAGACAGCCCTTATGCGTCATTACTACAACGGTCGTACGGAAACTTTACGCTCTTGCACCACTGAAGTACATAAGTTTATTCAAGTTGCAAACAATTCAAAATCTTCAAATTCAGAAATATGTTCTGCCTTTCGAAATGCCGTTAATCATCACAATCACATGATGAATGAGACGCGCGAAGGAAATGGAGTGGACAGACATTTATTTGGATTGTGGTGTATAGCTTACGAAAATGGAAGGGGTATACCAGAATTCTATGAGGATCCATTGTACATAAAAAGCGGAGGCGCAGGAAACTTTATTCTTTCTACAAGTACGTTAGGATATTCCACTAATGTGGGATTTGTGGCTCCAATGACCTTAGATGGATATGGTGTTTTCTACACCATTACCTCAGACAAGTACGTTTTATACCCTTGTTTTACTTATTTTGTAAATATTTACTCAAGGTTCATAGAATACAAGGTTACGACATCAGCCATGGCCGCCATCTTGATGGCGTAGATATCTCAATTTTTGGAGTTGCCAGATTCCTAAAAAATTATCTATAAAAATACACTATTTTAGACAATTCGCGTTGAAGTTTGTGCTTTTTTCTGCGTCTTTGAGTTTATTTAAATTATTAAAAATTTAAGTGCGCTGTTTTTGATTGTAAAAATTACACTGAAAAATGTAATTTAGGTTTTACCGTATGTCTAAAGATGAATTGCAATTTCGGTAGCGAAATTTTGCCAATGTTTGAACGCTTTTTATTTATAAATGCGCGCATGCGTCGTGATCGATTTCAAGAATAAAATCACCAGCAAATTTCAATTTGCATTCGATTTACATTTCAGTTGTCGCTATTATTATGTTAATCCGGTTTCACGTGAAGTTATAATATTTTATTTTGTTATAATAAGTTTAGCCACGATTTTATATCAAAAATGCCCATTTGATTAGGATTCCTAAAATATGCTATACGGCAGCCATGATTCAATAATGAAAGGTTTTGTAAGAAAAACTTTCTCTCGCTCTAATTTTATCAATGACACTCCCACCATACTCCTAAAAACAAAAACAGTGATATTTCTTTTCCAAATATCTTTGCAAGTTTTAAGAACATTTTTAAATTGTTAGTAGTGAAATTTTTACTTTTTAAATTTGAAGAAATGTTTGTTCTTCATTCGCTGGCGCCAACAAGACAAAATGGGTGAGCATCGTTGGACTACAGAAATTCAATGTAGGCTAAAGAGACGAAATTCNGCAGCTATATTTTCTGCGTTTTGTGTATCTCCTTCTTCGTAAAATGTTTCAGCCAATCAGAACTCACTTCGCAACTACGTCATTGGAGGAAAACAAATTTTTGACAGCACCATGTCGTAACCTTCTATTCTATGAAAATTTGATATTTATTAATATATTGCAAATTTTATATTTTCCAGCATTTATATTCAAATCTCAGCATTTCGTGATAGCTCCAAAACAAGTCCGCATAAATTTAATGAAACATTTAAGCAAGAATTTTCTACAATCAAAGCTGTTTTACAAAATGCATATGATTCCAAGTTGTGAAATAGGTATTTGTATATTAATCATACAAACTTACAAGTATATTCGTAAGTAAAGATGCCTGTAGAAATTGAGTTTTGACTAATTATTTCAGGTGGAAAACAAAACAGGACCTATACATATATACATAATACTTTTGTTGCGCTTTATGTGACATATTCGCTTTGACAGATAAGATGAATTGCAAGGCGAATTAATATAAGGTGATAGCAGGAGTACAAAAACAAAAATTTACATGTATTTTGTTTTTGCTTTGGCAGCATAAACTGTCAAAATCTGTAAGAGTGTGTGTAGAAATTTAAACAAAATTTTTCAATTTGATATCAGAAGCCGTGCGGCGAAACACATACACAAAATCAGCTGAGCTAGTAACACCACCTTATATAAATTCGCATTGATGAATTGTATAAAAATGCACAAAGCATGCCACATAGATCGTTGAAGTTGCAGCGCGAAGCGAAAAGATGGCCAACTCCCATCTTTTTGCGCGCTTTGACAATCAGCCGGTTTAATATTTATTTTGTTTCGTCCAAATTCGAGTTTTCATGCAGAAACATAAAACATAATTACATTGCTAATAATTTTAGAGCAAAATATATAAAATTCACAGCAATTTTAACGAGTAAAAAAGCAGTACAAAATTGTTTTCTTGGCGTTCATTGTGGCATACCTTTTGCGTCTGGCGCTTTGCTGGCAAATTTATAAATGTCACGCAAAGCTACAAAGTTTTATCTGGCATCAGCTTGACTTTCTTCAACATACGCGTCAATTTCTTTATGGAAGTCACTGTCGAATTTCCTATATCGACAGTGGTGTTGACTGCGGTCCGATTGCGAGTACAGCTTTTTCAGCCGAGTACCTTTCAAATGTTTGGAATTAATTAAATTAATTGAATAAACAAATATTTACATACTTCTTTCATTACTAAATCTCAACAAGATTGTTCATTTTTAAATTTAACGAACTTGTTGATTCAAATAGTCCGTTCCTTTGAACTTCGGTCTAAAACCTGTGGAACTGTCAAACCACAATTTTACCCTCTCAAGTGAGAGTAAAAGGAGAACAGATGCAGAAGTGCACGGGAACGCAAAAAGCACTAGGAGTGTTCGCTATGCAACTGCCAGTAAGAATTAGCCAGTAACAAAATTCAGAGAATAAGGTATCTTACTCTTCCAAATAGAGAAACTTACTGAGTTATGCGTGAACAGGAAATAGCAAACATTTGCAAGCTTTACTGCCAGCTGGCGTCCACGGTTGCATTTCGAGCATAATAAATTTTTAAAATTATTGACTTTCTTCAACATACGCTTCAATTTATTTGTGGAAGTCACTGTCGAATTTCCTATATCGACAGTGGTGTTGACTGCGTTCCGATTACGAATACAGCTTTTTCAGCCGAGTACCTTTCAAATGTTTGGAATTAACTATATTAATTGAATAAACGAATATTTACATACTTCTTTCATTAGTAAATCGCAACAAGATTGTTCATTTTTAAATTTAACGAACTCGTTGATTCAAATTAATGTTGACAAAATGGAACCGTGTGCCACAATCCTGCTTGCAAATTCTTACTGGCAAAAATTTTCCCAGCACGAATTTGCAACTTCCCCTCCAAATGAAATGTCAAAATTGTGCTCTCTCCTTGCACGTTTTACTGGGTTATTGGCTAAACGAACACGATTTGGTAACAATTGGTACCAACTTGTACAAATTTTTTGCATAGCGAACACTCCTACTATTTCCTGTAAAAACGTCAGTCAGTTTGTTTACATGTCATTGGTACAACACTGATTTGGCTGAAATATCACTAAATAATTATTAAAATCTATACATATTCAAATATTTCGTTGGTTACTTTCATTTTTTAACAAATATAAGGTTCTTTGCTTTCACCGTTTTCTGTTTTTTGCTTGCACATGCGAATCAGCTGATCGTTTGACACTTTTCATGAACTTACAGGAAAAAAAACTCCGGACTAAATCCTGTAACTTCTGACTAGGAACAGTGGCTCAGTTACTCTCTCAAAAGTGTTCCCACTTACAGGTTTTATGTCAATAGGAACGACTTCCTGTAAGTTCTGACTAAATCCTGTAAACCCAAGTCCAAAAAAGCCGCTTTCCCGAAATGTTTATATTGACAGCATTGCATCACAATGATTTCGCTTCTGCTCCAAGCAGCCTCTTTTAGCAAGTTAACTAAGCAATCCCGCTGAGATGCACCGCAGTTTGCTCCAGCAACCTTAATTTCAAAGCAATGAAGTGCACTTAAACGTTTGCTTCAGCAGCCTCAAATGCAAAGCAATGGGGTGCACTAAAATGTTCACTATTCTCTAATAGATTAGGTGCAAAATGCAATATTTTCGCATTTAGCAAAATTAAAACACGTTTTTCGCTGTAAAGTGTACTGTTTTGGCAGTTTCAACTCGTTCTTCTCTTCGCTCTATTATTTGTTTACTTGTGGTACACAAATGTCAACGGCCGGGACGGCGCAATCTCGTATTCTATCATTCTTTATTCATGCCAATATTTAAGGTTAAAAAAAAACAAAATTCGGGCTTTTAAATAAAAGAATTAACGTATTGTGTAAAAAACTTTTTTTAGTATATGTTCTGCCGAAGCAAGAAAATATAGAAAAAAGGTTTTTTCTTACAGCGGTCGTCCCTCGGCAGGCAATGGCAAACCTCCGATTGTATTTCTGCCATGAAAAACAGCTTCTCATAAAAATACAATCGCCGTTCGGAGTCGGCGTAAAACTGTAGGTCCCTCCGCTTTGTGTGACAACATCAAGGCGCACGCCACAGATCGGAGGAGAAGCTCGGCCAAACACTAACATTTGTGTAAGCGCCAATCTATTATTATTATTATTAAAAAACTTTGGTAAAAAATGCAAATACCTTTGAGAACAATTCAATGTTTGAAAAAACAAAATCTGACATTTTTAGTCTGTTCCTTTGAACTTCGGACTAAAACCTGTGGAACTGTCAAACTACAATTTTACTCCCTCAAATGAGAGTAAAAGGAGAACAGATGCAGAAGTGCATGGGAACGCAAAAAGCACTATTTCCTGTAAAAACGTCAGTCGGTTTGTTTACATGTCATTGGTACTACACTGATTTGGCTGAAATATCACTAAATAATTATTAAAATCTATACATATTCAAATATTTCGTTGTTTACTTCCATTTTTTAACAAATATAAGCTTCTTTGCTTTCACCGCTTTCTGTTTTTGTTTGCACATGTAAATCAGCTGATCGTTTGACACTTTTCATGAACTTACAGGAAAAAAAACTCCGGACTAAATCCTGTAACTTCTGACTAGGAACAGTTGCTCAGTTACTCTCTCAAATGTGTTCCCACTTACAGGTTTTATGTCAATAGGAACGACTTCCTGTAAGTTCTGACTAAATCCTGTAAACCGGACTGCTATTGGAACAGACTATTTATGTATTTCAATAAAAAAAAAATTCCAAATTTATCCTATCCTATCACCAATTTTTCTTTCAAGACGATAGGCAAATTTTCGTTCAATTTCAACAGCTGATCGATCATATTTTGGGAAGTCAGTTTTTGTTTGCAGAAAATTGTGTGTTTAATAAAATTTAGAAAAAAAAAGAAAACTTATACGTATGAGCAAAGTGAAAGCAATGTTTTCAACGTGTAAACGCAAAGTAAAAGAATAAATTTTAATGCTCAATTTGATTGACTTTTCAAAGCATTTTTGCCTACCAAAAGCTTAATCAAACCAACCAAACTACCAAAGGAGAATGAAGCTACCAATTTTGGTCCAATTGGACCAAAACGGCAACGCGAATACTGCGGCAACCAGAGCAGAGAACGTTTAAAACAGAGAAGCAGCAGAGAACGTTTAAAACAGAGAAGCAGCAATTACGAATAGCCGTGCAAACACTACGAAAATCGCTCTAGAAGCTCACCACTCGAATCGAAAATTGAGAGCGGCAAATTAACAGATCGGAGCGGCAAGTTAACAGAGCTGAGCGGAGATACAATATTGTTAATTTGTATCAATGTTAAGTACTTTGGTTTGGATTTTCTTTTTCGCGGCATTGATTTAATAAAAAAAAGATTAAAATTCTTGGTTAAATTTATGAAAATTAATTGACATTGACAAAAAAAGCCTACAAATGCGTACTCTTTGGCAATTTGTTGTCGGCATTTAAAAGCGAAGAAAAAATCAGTTTTTATTTTTTAACGATTGCTTTCAATGCAACAAACCGCAGTTTTCTTGCTAACAAATTCACTCAAAGATGGATACATTGACAAAAACGTACAAAAGCAGCAATTGCACTTGCTAGCAAAGTGGTCTTTCTCGAAAAGTTATGTTTGAGTTTTATGAACAGTTATTTCGAGAAAATATGCCATATGCATATAACCTAAGCAAATACCTTTTCTTAAAATCTCAAACCTTTTACTCGATTTGTTCAAATAAATTTAAGTGAGTTATGAAATTTTAAGTAAAAGCAATTGCTTAGTTTTTATGCATACGGACCAATGTGTTGAATGATGATTTTTCACTGCAATACTCGTATTACATGTAAATAATGGGGCTCATTCATGGTCAAAATAAAGTTGACACTAAAGTTAGTTACAGCTTTTTCACGTCATTTTCGGTGGAATAGGTATCTGTTACTACGATTATACGTAAGCTATTTGCAAATAAAAATAATTTGCAAATACCTGACTCACTGTTTATTCGATGGTGAAAAATTCTTTTTTAATATTGCCTGATTATAAAAAGGCAATAAGATGACCATCGAAAAAGAAAATAAACCTAATAATGGCGGCGTCTTGCGCTTATTTGCAAATAGTACCACTTATCAATACTTATTTGCGTGATTTAGCTATTTGCAAATAAAAAAACTCAGTGCGTGTAGTCCCTACGCGCGGAAGAAGTGAAACNCTATTTGCAAATAAAAAAACTCAGTGCGTGTAGTCCCTACGCGCGGAAGAAGTGAAA